TGTTGTCCCAATCCTTCCCGGGCCAAGGACGGCTGGCGTTCTCGTGTCCCTTGATCCCTCCCCACCGGGCGGGCGTGGGCCACGGCCACCTGTTCCCTCCCGTGTAGTTAGCAAAGGGCACTGGCCATCAGACCCTCCCGGGCAGTGTGTCTCGGGCTCACTCCCATAATTAAGGAGGGGGTGGGCGTGACGTGTCACGTGGTTTGCCCACGTCTCAATGATTTTAGTTTTGTGAATACATCTGCGTTCTAAATGGTTTAGTGTGGAAGCGAGGCTGGAGGCGATGCGGCCAGGCGGCAACAGGGCACTCGCGCCCGGCCTCGGTGGGCGTGGTGACCGAGGTAGTTTACGCGCGTTTCGGCGCGACGGCTCGCCCGTTAATCCGCGTCGAGGCTTTCCAGATTTTCGCCGCTGGAGGTGGCCACGTGGAGGCGCAGCAGCTCGTCATGGCCCTCCCTGTTCCGCGTCGCGGCTAGGCACGGAGTGCGGGTCACGCCTGCATATTCCTGAAGGTGTCCTTTGACTATGGCCTTAGTGGTTTGGCTAGTTGGACGTTTTGCCTTCTCTCATTTTCTTATTTTTTCGATTGCTCGGGGCGGCCGGATCCCTGCCGAACCCCTTCCAGCGCAACCGGACCAATTTCACTAACGCGCGCTGTCTTCTCCATCTACTTTATCGCTTGTCCGGCCCAAGCTCTTAACTGATTTTGCTTGGCATCCACGCGCGTGCATTTGTTTTTCCTTGTTTTGGTTCAGCGGCTGGTTGCCTTGTTTAAGTGGAGCATTTTGCCTTGGAATCGACGGGGTCAACACCCTCCGGACTGTCAGACCTCCGTCCGAATATAGCGACCGTAACGAAAGGATCATAGGCGCGGAACGCACCCGAGCAGCACGGCTCGACTATGGCAGGAATGAGGAGCTAAACGACCGCAGTCCTGCTTTTACGCAAATGTACGGTTGTGGGCAGACAGACTCGAAGGCACGGTGCCGCTCCTATTTTGGACTAAGAGACGCTCGACTCGTTTTGTTGCCAATCACTTGATCTCAGGCGTGAAAGCATGAAGCGGCATAAGTCGTGGAATCACCCAGGACCAGTGGGAACCACCCGGGATGCCGAATTATTTTCGGCGGTGGCTTAATCTATCCGTTGGTGTACCAGGCCCTCGGAAACGACAGAACACAGCTTACCCTCTTCGGACGTGGTGCACGCCAGGCCTTAGAGAGAGCGAGAGGGGAGACATGGGCGCCGGCGGATGTGAATGCTTGAAGTGAGTGTGGTGGGGTGCCGAATGCACGGAGTCCACGTGCATTAGTTAAGGCCGGAGGGGGGGGGGGGGCTCCCAGGGTCGTTATCCAGCGGACCCTTGCCAAGGTAATTCGCCAGCTGCGTATGATCTCTGCCCATTGGGCGTATTATCAGCACATCTGATTTCCTTTTTGCCCCGTTTAACATTATCATCAGCTTACAAGGTAGAGGTGGTGTACCGTGGTTAAGGGCTCACAGCCGTGTACGGAGAGAAAGCCGTTCACGGTGCCAGACCGGACCTACCATCCCGCCAATGCCCCGGTCATCCGCTTCATTTCAGCTCTGTGGCTCACGTGAGTGTGTATTGATGTCGGTGTCCGGTGTCACAGCATGCCGACGCATGCGCTAATATCATCTGGCTCGTAGCTGACCAGTGGGCTACTCAGTACAAATTCGCTCTTGTAAGAGGCGTGACAGCAGCAGCCGGCGACGCACGCCCATCTAGCGGCAGCAGCGGCGCAGCGCACGCATCCCACCCCAAAAACCCCTCACACGAACATCAAACATAAAACGGCGTCTCAGCATAACGTATGCTCGGCTTTGTCAGGCTTTACGCGGACGCCCGATGATCTTCTGACGTTTCACTTTGACGCCTTAAGATAACACCTTCCCCAGACAAATAGCGTAATGCTCTTGGTCTAGACCAAAGGGTGACATTCCAAGGGCTGTGCTGTCTGTGCAGACGTCATCCGCAGCAGCGAGTGGCTCACCGTCAATGTCGCCGTCATCCACCGCGGCGAGTGGCTCACCGTCAATATCGCCGCCATCTACCGCAGCGAGTGGCTCACCGTCAATATCGCCGTCATCCACCGTAGCGAGTGGCTCACCGTCAATGTTGCTGTCATCCACCGCAACGAGTGGCTGACCTTCAATGTCGCCGTCGTCCACAGCAGCGAGTGGCTCACCGTCAATGTTGCCGTCATCCACCGCAGCGAGTGGCTCACCGTCAATGTTGCCGTCATCCACCGCAGCGAGTGGCTCACCGTCAATGTCGCCGTCGTCTACAGCAGCGAGTGGCTCACCGTCAATGTTGCCGTCATCCACCGCAGCGAGTGGCTCACCTTCAATGTCGCCGTCATCCACAGCAGCGAGTGGCTCACCGTCAATGTCGCCGTCATCCACCGCAGCGAGTAGCTCACCGTCAATGTCGCCGGTGCCTGAGAATGGCCCGTGGTTCCACGTCAGTTGCGCGCAAGTAATGTAGGAATAATAACATCAAATCTAAAATCTGCTGGACGCTTGCCCAAGATCCAGTCGCACATTCTGTTCTACGGGAGAATTTCCTGAAGTGTTTCTTATGCGTTAGTGGCGTGCCTGTTAAGCATTTGTACGGTTATGGAAATAAAGTTGGTGCATAACTTCAGAAATAGCGTAATAATGTGCTTATAGGAAGCGCCCCAAGCCTCTTGGACATTTCAAGCAACACATACGCTGAAAACCGAAATGATTTGTTTTGCGAATATCTGGAGTCTTGGTCTAAAACAATACCCTGTATTCCGCGCTATTCCCCTCACGTTCTCCTATTTCCTCGGACATTCCTCCGATATTCCTGCATTATGCCCATAAGGTTCCTAGCAGGACAAGAATAAAGCCCTTGTTATGCCTCTGGTGTTCTTCATGATACTCGGGGGATTCTCGTATTTTAGGCCTCCGACATTCTCTATTCTCCAAATACCCATAACACATTGATAGTATATCACCATAGCAGTGCGCATTTCCTCTAGATGCCCCGGCAGTGCCATCATGCACTCCTCCGAGACTTTTGATTGATATTCCTGAAATATCAACCTACGCCAGTCGCATGTTTAGGCGTGCTTTCTTGCCGCGGCCATCAGCCGCCTAAACAATGTCCGAAACCTCCATGCCCGTTTATCATTGGAGGACACATGAAAAACGATCGATCGCCACATGACAAGCGGCGATAGAGCTCTTCCATCTCACCAAAGCTCAGATCATATTACAAATCCAAAACCAAATGTCGTGTTGGTCACGATGTACGAAAGCGCAGACCGCTAGACAGCCACCGCCAGATAGGTATTGATGAAAAAGCTGTATTAGGATATCTACATGGCATACCAACATCAGCATCAGCAAGACATCCCGTACTGAGGTGCGTCCTGCATAACCACCTCACAAAAAGCGAGGGCTGTGACTTGCCCCTCCAGATGTAGTCCACCACGCTCGTCCACTGCTGGTCGGCCGTCGTGATGGAAAATGGCGCCCAGCCGACTGTTGAACGTCCTCAACTAGGGATTTTCCAAGCATTCTGGAGGATTGGTGGATTTTTTTCGTGAGGAGATTGCAGGGTGTTACCCTGCAATAGAAATAAATAATAAAAGTATGTAGTGTAAAAATGGTAAAAGAATATCGTGGTAATAGAGTTCCAAAAACATTTCCAGAAGAGTTTGAGAGGAAGCAGGCGTATACACTTAATGCTTGTGGTATTCCCCGAATGGGCTCCGGCAGTGTACCACTGGAATAACGCACAGCCATAGACGTTCACCTGGATGCGATCATGGTATCAGGGACATCATTTGGGTTTTCAGTGAAACACATTCAACACGGACATTACATGAATCGCGTGGTTTGTCCTGAAATGTGCTATTTGGCTTCGCCCAAACACACCCCCTCTCACTGTACACATTAAGCGCCTTAACATGTCCAACCTGCATTATTTTAGCCAGCTTTGCACCTGCCAAGAATGTAGCGCATGGTAGGCATTTGTCCTTAGAGGCATTCTAAAGTCGCGAAACCCATTGCATGGTGTAGGGTAACGTACCGTCAACAAATCACAGAACGCATCACTGTCCGGCCCGTTGGTAATCAATCGGAAAGCCGAGAAGGTCGATACTTCCAAAAAAGGTCTAGCATACAGTACGTCCTATTGTAGGGGTGTCCTGAGCGGTGAGAGAATGAACACTGATACCTGAACAGGTGTGTGTTGCAGTTTTCCCATTACGTTTTTCGCGCTGCTTCAGTCAGAGTCAATTAAGCTGCACGTCACTGCACATTCATTGATTTGATTGACAGGAATAGCCAGACACGGTAATGCACATGGCCATCCTATCTTCAAACAATACGACCTATGTAATTAACGCGCGGACGCTACACTTGTGATCTTCCCCCTGACCGACTCTAATGATCACTCCCATTTGTATGAGTCTCCAAAAATATGTGGCTTCATTAGTTGGTTTCATCATTGCCTCTATTAAGACAACTAACACCCCTCACGCCTTTTCTCGCTTCGCTTGTCCCACATCGTGAAAGACACCTTATTTGGTTGCATTCGAGCGTAGGAGCATGCCTCCAGATGCCACCATATCCATCCACCCTTGACATGACTTTCAGTCCAACAAAACCAGCTCGTTCCAATATCTTACAACGAGTGAGCGGTTGCATCCTCTCCGGACAAACGACTGGACGCTGGAGTTGGGACGGAGGCTCGGTGCAGGTATTGGGACATTCCGGAGGTGCCGCGGGGTCATTCGCTGCCGTAGCGGGGCCATCGATCGGCAGCGGGGCGCGCGCCGCCCGGCCGGCCGCATGTCCCCTGCGTCCCGGGGCCGCCGCCGGCCGGCCGGCCGCCGACGCTCGCAGTCGGCACCGAGCGCCGGTGGCGGCAGCGGTGGTGCCGCGGCGGGACACGGCGCCGAGAGGTCACCGCGACGGACCACGGCGCGGGGCGGCGACCCAGGCAGTGACGCGGCCAGCTTCAGTCGCGGCAGCGCCCCTCGGCGTGCCATTCGGTGACCTCGGCGTGCGGTTTGAAACTGGCCCCGGCCCGCGTTCAGGGCGGATTTCCACAGCGTGGCCTGCCACACTGGCCGCCCCGCACGGTACGTTGGCGGCCACGCGAGTTCTTCGCACCCGGCGCGGCGGCTCGTGAGTCGCAGACCCACGCCGGGATGCGGGCCTGACGGTGGCGCAAAGCCGCTCTCTCGACAGTGGAGGAAGGGCAGTGGACCAGCGGACAGGGACCCAGATGGATGAGTGACCCGGCGTGATCGCGCCGCCCGCCAGGATGGGCAGCATCTGCAGGATCACCGTCGTGTTATCGACGATGGCGCTGGTGCAGAACGGTAAGTGCTCTGAGACGTTGTGATGGAAATCACAATCCGGATCCGGATCATTAGTTATATCAACTAATAGGCGCATTGGGTAATGTTTAGCTACCGCCTACGAGTATCTTATGCACATTTCTATAGACATCTTCGGGACGTTACGGCTCATCAAGGATTTTACTTCCACCATTGCGTTTTCTTCATGGTAGTGATGACGGGACTGGAGTATCAAATGTTAAGAGTTATGAGCAGGAAGACATCTGATCTTAATGCCACTCCCAAGAAACGCTCAATCAAACTGTAAACACACACACACACACACACACACACACACACACACACACACACACACACACACACACACACACACACACACACACACACACACACACACACACACACACACACACACACACACACACACACACACACACACACACACACACACACACACACACACACACACACACACACACACACACACACACACACAAGCACACGCACACATACTTCGTAAATGTGGACAGCAGATGTTCTCTTGATCTATGCATCAGTGAAGTTGATAGCATATTGTGGATTTGTTTGCTTCTTGCCAAGGTTTTCTAGACTCCTTGTTATCTCATTACAACCATTTGAAAAATAAGATTACGTCTGTATTGTTACCCCGCAACGCTTAGTTTAAGCTTTTAACACCATCGGACATACACAGGAGATGCAAGAAGATAACATGACGCGTTCGACGGCGTCTCAGATCGATTGCCAGTTCACGTTTATTCGCCGGTGACCTCAAATACGTTCCAATGAAATCTCTAACATGTGTGCAAAATAAAGCGCTCATCTACGAGAGCGTCTCTTAAAAAACGGAGCCTCATTTCGTGCCTTCAGTGCTGCCCTGATAGTGACTAAGGTATACAGTGTGCAGGGGCACTCACATATATAAACAATGATTAACATGAAGGATGGATGTCAACGCCATCCACAGATTTCATGACATTATCTTCATTCAAAAAATCTTAAAACTGTGAGCTAGTGCAGCAGTTGCGAAAAGTCAATTCAAACGAGCACAACGGGAACGGCTCATAGGCATCCTGCAATCCCAGCGACACACAGGCATCCCGCTCTCCCAGCGACACACAGGCATCCCGCGCTCCCAGCGACACACAGGCATCCCGCGCTCCCAGCGACACACAGGCATCCCGCTCTCCCAGCGACACACAGGCATCCCGCACTCCCAGCCAAAAGCGTGGACGGCGTCGCTCAGTGACTGCCGGAGGTAGCTGGGTTCTCGAGAAGAACAGTAGCAAAACCCTTTGTGGGGGCTAAAAATTTGCACCTCGGCATCCCCAGAGCTGCAGCCTCGGATGAGAGGGTGGCCCGGCGAGATACCACGGATTTGGGGAGAAACATACGCCGAATCGAAATCGAGCTTAGCTGGTTGTGAAGGGTTCATGTTTATAAACTTTAGGAAGGCCCTGCCATCGCACAAGCTGCTCCACATGGGCCCAGCCCGAGGATGCCAACGCCGGACCGACCTTTTGCTGACGTGGCGCGCCAGTCATGATCCAAACACTGAAACTGATATTTCTTATCCGGGCTAGCGGATTTTTGGTTGTTTTACTCCACACCAAAATGCTGTTTAGAATGTGGGGAATGCTTGCAGTTCGATCAGACATTTTATTGTTGTCTAGTCTAAGTGGTGGCGGAACGGGTAAAAATATATGAAAAGTTCGTTGCACCTTTTGACGATGTGGCTGATGTGAATATTCCACATCATGCTTGGATCGTTGGCACAGGTTGGCTTGCCGTCCATATCAACACCCAGCGTTGGTATGGACGGCGAAGATGTGGTTACCGACCCCCACTATTCTAAGCTGACATCTTTTGGCTTTGTTGATGGTTTCATGGGTTCCGATTAAAGTGAAAGATGTGTGTTTCTGGCTTTATCTTTAGTGAATTTGAGCTAAACCAGCATTGTAATGGGTCCAACGACGTGAATTTCTAGTGATTCCAGACTTTGTGGGCCGGGCGGCGAGTGATCGAGCAGCTGGGTGTCATCAGCGCACGCTATCACTCGACAGCCATGTAAGTAACCGCGAAGGCCAGTCACGAACAGGCTGGAGAGGATAGGCCCGGCGATGGATCCCAAAGGCACTTCGAAACGGACCGGCAGAGTCGCCTTACCGCGTCTCACCTACTGTCTCCGGTCATCCAAAGAGCTACGGGGCCCCATGGGGTCGATCCCGTGCCATCCCAGATTGGTTAAGAGGACGTCAGGGTCGACGCTGTTGAAGGCTTTGCTGAGGTCGGCGGCAGTAACCGATGAAATCTCACCGCGGTATCATTTTGGGTTGGTCCGTTCGACAGCGCCGAGCATGGTGTCCTCGAAGCAGTGACAGCGCCCGTGCACATGCTGGTCATGAAATACAATGTTATGGTCACATAGATGCCGAGAGAATTGGCCGCAGTTTTCTCAGCGATTTGAGACGAGTGTGACCGAAGGGAGATCGTTCGATAAGTGGAGGGCTTTTACAAATGTTTTGACAATACGCAACGGGTCAGGTCCTGCCACTGCGAAACAGCTTTTAACTGTCCCCAGCGGCACCCCACCCAAGCCGACCGCTCCAGACAAGTTCATGCATCTCACGGCTCCCGCCAGCTCTGGTAGCGTGGCTGGCTGGAGCTGGAACGCCGCCGAGGCATGATAGGCGATCGCTGATACGGGCCGGCTGTAACGTCATCGCCCATTTCGGCCGCGATCCGAGAGCCCACCGAGACGAGAACAATTTAATAAAATTGTCCGCTCTGGTGTGTTGTTCTGCCTCGTTGTTGGTTGGGGCTGTAGGTGCTGGGTCGGAAGACGTTTAGAGAACCTCTTCAGGCTGGGCCAGGAATCTCGTTCGTCGGAAGTCAAGAGCTGGCGGCTGAGAAAAACCCGACGAGTCTGCACCAGCCGACCCTTGACTAAGTTCCGGAGACGACGGAAGTCCGCTCGTGGCTCCAGCGTGCGTAGACCCGTCCGGGCCTGTTACGCTTCGTCCCGCTCAGATGTGACCTGACGTAGCTCAGGTTTGTCGCAATCAGTGGGCGCCCCGTCGGTGGCACCGCATGGTACTGGCTGGACAGTGCCGATCTATGACCGAACCACCATATCTTCGTGAAGATTTCGACCGCTTTGTTTGCGTCATAGTTCGTATTGCAGACGGACCCACCGGCCAGCAGCAGGTCCAAGCAGACTGGATTCCAGGCGGCGCGTCCCTAGCTCCGAGCGGTACGCTTCGCGGGCAGCTTCCGGAGCCGGCCGGTGGGGGCGTTGACTGCTACCGGCCGGCGATCGCCGATATGGGTACTGAGGCGCTGCGGCTGCGCACGTCGTGACCTTGACGTTCGTTAAGATGCGAAATTAGATAGCAACTCGAGGAGCACTTCGCTGAACATTTCAGTTGGCAGTCCACCTTTGAACCACTTGAAAACAATGAAATATCGCTCATTGATAACCCAATGGACTTGAACGGTGCCAGTGAGTGCCGACGAACACACAGAGAGCGTTGTTCACGCTTATGTTCATCGCGCAGTCAGACATTGCTCGGCCTGGCCACTTTTGCACCAGGGGCTGCACAGGACAACACACATCCTGTTAAGCTGCAACGACAGATCGAGCAACGCAGACAACCATGTCAGACGGAAATGTACAAATACTTCTCTCGCACCGATAGCAAACACGAACTTGACGAACTGAGCGACAAACAGGTCAGGCAAGTCCAACTAGTCTATAAACGAAGCATCTCTACCACCTGCAAACCATGATGAAGAAGTTCTCCGTGACATTGTCTTGGAAAACGATGTACCGGCTAGATCATTATCAGGTAAACGACAACACTTTTTTCAATCGACCTTTATCCATTACCTCAGTACATGAAACGCATACTGGCAAGTTCTTCAAACTGAAAGGAGCCGACGAAGTGCATGTGGCCCGAGAACAACATAATCATGTCATTCCAGCTCCGAAAGATGCTACAGCGGGAACCACACAAATCTCAGCAAAGAGTATGAATAAAATGCCGAGTTGTTGCCCAAAATGAGGCTAAACTTTTTAACCGACATGTTTTGTTCACACCATTTTGTAGGTCATCATTCAACAGACAAAAGCAAACACTAACTACAGCACTGTGCTTGTAAGCTTTATGACTCAAGATTGCTTGCAAAACAGAGTAAATGTTCTTATTTACCAGTTTCAATATGACTAGACGTAAACATCTTGGACCATAAAGCACCATACATCCAGGGAGTACGTGCCGCGCTGCAGTCCCTACCAGCATTGATAAAATTGACGGCAGCATAAATTTGTATAGGTCATTTAGACTTAGCCAGAACCTTGACAAAACATCTCCCGAAAATGCAGACTATGCAGAGCAATTAGGCTGCTCAACTAATTCAACCCACTTTGCTATGATGCGTAACCTTTGTTCTTTGATTTTGTATCGTGCATTAGGTAGGTATTTATTTAAGTCATTCAGTAGTCTTGGTTAGAAACAATGCTCAAGAACAAAGGTCATATGTTTTAACTTTTTTAGTGTAGCTGTTACATTCATGCAGCAAAACATCGGGCCATACAAAATGATACAAACCCAGATCTTGAACAATAATAGCATTCATATCAAAGTACGAGGTATCAAAAAACAAGATTCGTGGCTGTGAGGCAAACATTGCGCAATGCTGTGTTCAAGCAATAAGGTCATCCATACGTACCAAAAATAACAGTATCTTGAGTTGGCTTGCGCATGATACAAGCATGTCAATTCAGAAGATCATAATGCTTACCGAATAGAAGCCTTCCAGGTTTCGTCAACAGCCGCCCGTTCGCCCGTAACAGCAGCGCGCCCCGCACCACTCCGACGAACAGCGTTAAATGATTCGCAACGGCGGATTGGAGACTAACAGGTTTCCTACCATTTCCAAAACTCCCTTTACTAGGGCTCGATGCCCCACTCTGGAAGATTGATTACCTTTCGACAACATGC